GCCTGAAGTCTGTAATTTTGACAATTTGGAACAGGTTTTTACGAAGAGCCAATTTTCTCCCAATAAATTAGTCAAGTGACTAGGATACAAGGATTTCCAGGGACTCCGGGGGATTAATCGTCAAATTAATCGTTATCGGCTAAATACCACGATTAATCGTGATTAATTTTTTTGACAATATTGCCCAACCCTACCTGCTGGAGCATCGGCAGCAGCACTAACACAGCCAAAATGGATTCCATTACGGAGAGTCAGCCAGAGGAAATGCACCTCCCATGGCCTTATTTAAAAGACTTATTTAAGTTAACCGGTTCAAAAATGACTAGTGGAGATCAGGGCAGCATAATATCAGGAAAACATGTGCAATAACAGTCCTTCATATTGCGATGATATGACTTGTGATAAATAAATACATAAGTATGTAATGCTGATGTTTTCTTCTCTGGGTTCAGAGCAAAAAAAAATCAGTAAACTTGAAACAAAGATCCATTGTAGGTACCTCCTTCATTGGAAAACCAGAATACACAGCGCCTCACCTCACCATTATGTATCATTAAAAAAAAACCTCTGAAAGGTAAAGGAATTATCCAGGTTCAGCAGGATATCTGGCCACGCTTCGTTGTAAAACCTGCTCAGGAATGCCTTGAAGAAGTGACCAATTCTCCACACTCCCCACAACAAACCCGACTCACGGAGGCCCTGCATAGGACCACCTTCTGAGATTTCTTGTTGACACACGGTGGGTCAGAATCGAGGACCTGAACAAAATCTTACAGAGGGATTGTTATGTCGAGGAGAAGAAACCTTCCTACACTCATCACAGGCATCTGAGGTTTAATTACTGRCACTGGTAGCTAACCTTCTGATGAAGAGAGACTAAAAACAAACTTTAAWACAAATTATTTATTCTCATGCAACCACATTTCTCACAGTCACGTGACACCCATCTTAAACTCTTAAAATGTCCAGAACCGATCTCTAAGTTTCACATTTCATCAGCTCTCTGCTATCTTGACTGTAATGCAATCCAAGGTTTTCCAGACAGAAGGTCAATAAAATGTGTCCAATAATGGATATTCCACACAGACGACTGTGCTGATCGCTCAGAGATAAGTGGAGCATGTTCAATAAGAAGTGATGGCAGTAAAATCAACAACTCTTTAAATAAACAAGGGCTGCGACTAATCAACCCACAGAAAACAGCTAAAACATCAAACTCCTAAAATGATCATATCAACATCTTAAAATAAGCTTCGTTTCTTTAATTATAAAGATAGAAATTAGTGCTGGGCGGTATACCGTTTTGTACCGAATACCCGTTTATATTTTTGTTATGATATGAATTTTTTGAATAACGGATATTCCGGTTTAAATAGCGGAATGTTTCGTCGCGGCCACCAGTGAACTGTTGTTTCCCGGGGGACATTTTTCCTTGCTGCACCGCTAAGTGCGTTAGCATGCTAATGTTTGTAGCAGCTAGTTGCAGTCGCGGGTGGCGATTCCGCTGCTTATATTGACTGACGTTTAAAAAAAACATCCAGTTTGCCGTCGCTGAATGTAGTAAACACATCTTCAGTGACGTGCACAGTTAGATTTAACACGATTAGTTAATATGGAGACGTTATGCTGATGGAGACTTAACGTGCTTCTATTGTGAAAAGCTTGCAGGAAGTAGTTCGTAGTGGAGTTGGAATTGACTGGTGTGCAAGGTGAGTCGTGCTGATAAGCTTTAATAAATAACATAAAACAATAAACCCGATCATAATCTTTTCTTMACCCTCCTCCTTCACGACTGGACCAAAATGCATGACTACTGTCGGCAACCACCAGTCAGAGAAGAACAGACACAGAGGAGGGAAACAGTGACACAGACAGAAGAGGTACAGTAAAAGAAAAAAGTCACTAAGCAGGGTTTGTACATTATATTATCAGATGAGCTGTGATGAAAAGAAAAATACCGTCAAATACCGTGAAACCAGTGAAAACGTTGAAAATACCGTGATATAAAATTTTGATCATATCGCCCAGCTCTAAAAGAAATGCAAAATGACTTTTTTTTTCTTCATGGCCGCCGCAAACCTTCACAGAAGAGAAGCTGGAACCAATAAACAAAATAGAAGCAGATTTGTTTTGGCTACGAGGATGAGATTTAAAACAGGAAACATTCAGGTTCATGTGTGTTCAGTTTGCTTAGCTGGAGATTTGTTGTCATCTAGTAAAATCTTTGTTTCCTGTTGTCTGACCTATGGAGCACGCTGAGAAAATACATTTATCTGTCAAAACAACTGTGCAGCTTTCCCAAAAAGACCCACTCCAGCAGCACCGGAGAGCCTTCACTGGTGATTCTGGTGACGCTGCTAACGATGAACATGTGAGAGCGTCGAAATCCCCTGACTGACAAACAGTCGGCAAAGGGCAGCCCGCCTGACGACACATCAAAGAGCACACAGCTGGTAAAAACCCACCCCCATCCAGCCCTGTTGCTCTTTCAGATGGCCCACTTCCAGCTCCGACCTCAGCTCAGTCATTACCCGGCCCGGATCAGCGCCGGCCCGCTCGCTATTTATAACCCCAGTTCCATCGTTCGGAGGCGTCCCAAACAAAACCATCAGTTTGTGTTTTTAAGGTTTCGGCTCGTTTTGATCCAGCCATCCTTTTTGTGTCATCTTTACTGTGATGGTGATAACAGAGCTTCATATTGTGATGATGATGATAAAGATTAATATTGCGATGGCGATCTGACTTGCGATAAATGAACAAATACTGAAGCAGTGTTGATGTCTTTTTGCTCTGGATTCAAAGGGAAAAAACAACTTATACAATACATTATTTCCATTCCAAATGCAAACATCTGATCCAACCATTTATTGACATTAACAGTTTTTTTGCAAAATGTCTTTTACACAGGCTGTTATCGTGATGACGATAAATCTGTGATACATTGTGCAGCCTTAGTKTGAACTGAACAAAAATGTAAAACAACTCTTTATGAGTGGCTCATGGTGGTTACAAGACATCTGTCACTCCCTGAGGTCCAAATTAACCAGGCAGACCAAAAACAGCAGCTGTGTGTCCGAGCTTTAAAAATTCTCAACCTGAAATCAGCAGAAACCCCTGAAAGACAGGCCGTGCACTCTGTTACACTGGGAGAGGACAAAAATACCTACATTTTCAGGTATTAGTGAAAACTGTCAGTTCTGTGGAAAAAACTACAATAATCAAAACTTAAATGGGTTTGTGTAAACATTGTATAAAGTATCTCAAAACGCCAGTTCAGACACGTAAAATACAACTTTCTGCAACCTGTTTGGACTTAAAATAATGTTTGTTCTGTGAAATCTGTCTGAGCTATTGAGCTGGATTTTATCATCTATTTCACCAAAATACCCATCGACTTCCATTCATTTTTTTACCTCAAAACTTAATTTTTAATAAGCAAATTTTGTCTACATTGTGTATTAATCATAACACACTATTTCAGGTCAAGATAAAAGATATGATGTGTAATTTGAACCTTTTATTTAACTCCAGTTTCCACATTTTCCTTATTATAACTGGGAGTTTTCCAAATTTTTATTGGGCAACTGTCCAATTGCGTGTTTGTGTTGTTTATCCTGTTTCTTGTGCAGTGAAATGATTGTCATCAGTAAAAAAATATAAATAAAATAGAAACAAAGATGCTCCAGAATGAAACGGTTGAGATATCTGTGAAAGGAGGAGTCTGGAAATGCAAATCTCTCAGAATATATTCAAACCATCCATGGCGACTTGTTGAGTGGGTTTATAGGAGGGAAATAACGTTTTAAACTCACCTTCATGTCGTTCATGATGAGCTGGAAAAGCCCTCCCAAGGCGCTGCATTCCTTCTCTATCCCCGCATCCATTTTTCCACAGACTCGGAAAAAAAAAATCCTCCCAAACTTTTTTTTTTAAAACCTCCCCCCCCTCTTAAGTTTTTGAACACTCCAACAGGAATCAATGGAGGCTTTTATTTGTTTATTCTGAACTGGAGGCTGTTGATTACAACTCCCAGGGGTTAAAGTCCGCTTTAAGCCACACGGAGACCAACAATCAGAGGAAAAAACGCAGAATAAAAAATGAGTAAAAACTCAGCTTCTCTGATGCTACCAGCCGGCCAACTGGATAAACGTCCCGAAAAAATGCACATCGTGCCAGAATCCCGTAACGAGACCGTCCGGAGAACGGCTGGCAGGCTCCCGGAGGATTAGTCCGGCAAAAAAAGAAAAGAAAAGAAAAACAGCCTCTTACCTCCGCCTGCTAACTTGGCTAACGAGGTTAGCAAGGCAACCTGTGACTGTGCGCGTGTGTCCGAGCTCGCGCACTAAYGTCTGTACACACACGGACACACGATCCGTGATCAATCGGTGCSTCTTGGAAATTAATCGATACGGTTCGTGTCCGTGGTCCGGTTCGGGTTTGAAGCCCCTCCGTCGGCGGCTCCGGGTGTTTATCCGGACGAYTCGCGGCTGTTTGTGGACGAGTTTTGACGGCAGACTCGACGGTTCTCCTGCCGTCCCTCCAACAGGAGTCCTAACCTGAAGTGAATGAGATTTTTCACAAACTGCGCGTGAAGGCGGGGCGGATGACCAATTCCACATCCGGTCCAGAGTTTCAAAATAAGACTCTTCATTTTCCACCTGTACGAGGGAGGGAGTAAGGTAGCCTATTTGTGTTAGCAAAAATATTTTTAAAATAGGTGGACATAATTAATGGAAACTAAACTAAAATAAAATAATGGATGCACATCTACAACTGGTTCACTTTTATAAATGAAAAAATACAAAATGGCTGTAACTCTGTTAGTTTTACAGAAGTTAGCTAAAACTTGATGTAGCTGAAAATGATTACTAGATAAAAACAGTAAGACCATCACATACAGGATTTTAATTACAGAAATGCATTGAATCACTCTGAATTCATGTGTTTTGATTTTTTAATTATTTTTCTGCATGCATGCTAATGTTAATATGCTTTATACTGTCATCATTGCATATTCCTATACAACAAATTTTGTTAAAAAGGAGGGAAGAACAGGCAATTCCTTTAATCCTTGTTAACATTTTGAGATTTAACTCCTGTGTTTTTATTTGTACCGTAATTTAGCCTCCTCTTTAATACTGCAGAAAGCCTGTTCATCCCAATCTAGTGCAGGTAAAACACTGACTAGTCCTAAATACTAAAAACACAAACACAATTAACATTATTTTTTTCATTAAGCTGGTCTTTAATTTGATTCTTTTGAAGCAAAACTGCATTTTAAATTTTTATTTAAAAGTTACTGTTGCAGTTTGATTCACAAATAAGGGCCAATTTATTAAACTTGTGTTATAATGAAATTAAAAAAATGTACGCTTAAAAAAACCTGACTGTAGTCTGGCTTTTATTTTCTAAAGGAATCAATTTCCTGTTGACGTAGATTGACGCAGATTTGTTTGTGCTCTGTGGACGCGGCGGTTCCGTGAGGGGGCGGGGCTATGGAGGATTAAAAAAGTTCCCAATAAAACAAGCTGCCCTGAGTTTACCTTATTAA